AACAGTTATGAACTGTAATATTTACAGTTGCCAAAAAAGCATACTGTAATGTATTATACATTGTCACTGTATTTTTTACGGTGAAGTTCTGGCAACAGCACACAGCTGCTGGCATTTTACCGTAAAAACAACAGAATTTTTTTTACAGTGCAGGAGGCGCCTCTACGGTGTTTCCTGGAAGCTCAAGCCTCTAAAAATGGAGATCCAAAATGGAAGGACTGGTCCATTGAGTCCTCCATTCAAATGGATATCACAAACATAGTGAAATTCTAGACTGGGAGAGTCCCGGACCATGACATAGATCTGTATCTAAGCAGATTTTGTGAAATCTTGCATTCATATAAACCAGTGGACAAGTTTGGTATATGGTATAGTGTTCGCAGATATAAAGTAAAGATGCGTAAAGATGCAAACGGACACACATCACAATTCCCCAACTCCATCTCCCTTGGCCCTTACAACGGGAGAATAATCTACTCCGGTCAATCCATCAGCTGCCTCATATGTCATTCCACCGACCATCAGGTAAAGCAGTGCCCCTCCGTAAAGTGCTGGAAATGTACCTCCGGGGATAACCCAACCCCACGTTATCCCCCACGTTATCCTGGGGTTGGGTTCTTTCACACCCTCCTTTTTTTTTGCGTGTGATAGGGGGTGGTGTGGCTCTTTCTTTCTATAAAGGAGCACCTGCCCCCAGATTTCCCACACGGGTAGCCAATCACCTCTAAGGGGGCATGACCATACGCAGCTCCAATCTCTCTCTCTCTCACACACACACACACGTAACCCCGGTGACACTCCCCCCGACCAATGGGTTCTAGTCCCGAGAACCCCTTGCCTTTCACTCATCTCTATATCTAGCTGGGGGCTGTCCCTTGCTAGCCCTTTGTGAGCAACGGGGTACTACCTCGGGGTTAGCTGGTGCTACAGTACCTCCCGGAATAACCCAACCCCACGTTATCCCCCACGTTATCCTGGGGTTGGGTTCTTTCACACCCTCCTTTTTTTTTGCGTGTGATAGGGGGTGGTGTGGCTCTTTCTGCACCCATATATATCACACAGATCTCTAATCAAGTGGGACTCAAAATTTGCACCTTGATCTGAGTGAATAGTCTCTGGGCAACCAAAAGGCTGTATCACAAATGGTCCCACAGGGCCCGGGCTGTCGACAGTGCAGTCTGGTCGGGGGTAGCAATGGCCCACGCATACTTAGTGAACAAGTCTGTTGCAACCAGCACTTGTTGGTACCGTTCAGTTGGGAAGTTCACTGCCAAAAAGTCTGTGGCCAGGATATGCATCGGGACCAGTGGGGCCTTACCTTCAGGCCGAGTCTTGCGAAGTACACACTAAATAAAACAGGAACCTTACCTCTTTCTGAAAGAGATGACACTTCTCAGGGCGAAGTTTCAAGCCATAGCACTCGAGAGACTGAAACACAGCTTCCAAGTGACTAAAGTGGGTGGCAAAATCTGCCGAGAAGATGATCACATTGTCAAGACAAACGCTGACTCTGATAACTGGCCACCTAGACACCGCTGCATCAACCTTTGGATTGTAGCTGGAGCATTACACAGGCCAAAAAGGCATTCTCTCAAACTGGAATAACCCGAGAGGTGTGGTAAATGCAGTTTTTTCCTTGTCTGTTTCTTCTACTTCAACCTGCCAATAACCACTCGCCAGATCTAATGCGGAATACCACTCAGCTTTGGTCAAGCTAGTTAGGGAGTCTTCGACACGTGGCAGGGGGAAAGCATCTTTGTGTGTTATGCTGTTGAGTTTACGATAATCTACACAAAACCACCAGGCACCACACTTCTTTTGAACCAACACTATAGGTGCTGCCCACAGACTACAACTCTCTCTGATGACTCCCTTCTCCAACATCCTTTTGCAGCAAACTGCGCACTTCCCTATACAATGTAGGGGGTACTGTCCTAAATCTCTCCCTAATGGGGGCTGCATCACCTGTTGGAATGTGATGTTTGATATTATCTGTGCGGCCATAATCCTCATCATTTGCCGAAAACACATGCTGCCACTTACCTAGAAATTGTTGAAGCTGCTGCTGCTGTCCTTCACTCAGCTGATCACTATGGGGTATCCCGGCCACAATCCTGTGCTGACCCCTGGCGGGTGCAATATCGCTTGATGTGCCCTACTTCTCCGCAGTGATTACAGAGGGGACGGCCATCTTTGCTCCACTGAAATCTGGGATAACTTACAGGGGGTCTCATCACCTGCCTCGGCTGTGCCAGACTACCGGAATAAGCCCTGGGCCGGTGAGGATTTTCAGAGACACTCAGTCTAGCATTCAAGGTCCTCATCTCTTCTAGCAGTGTTTTTGTATTATCAGCTAATTGTTCTCTGACCTCCTTAAGGATCTCTTCTTTGAGTTCCTGTTTCCAGTCTTTTACCTTTGCTGAGGTGTCCAACACCGGCCGCTCAACGTGACAGACAGGTACTGACCAACGTTCCTCTTGGTCCTCCTCCAGGGCCGGTGCCTCGCCTTTGACAGCATCAAAAGAAAGTTTGGGATAATTTCTGACCTGACGCCGTAAATCTTGTCGAATACGCCTCGCTTGTAATCCGATGACAAACTGGTCCCGGAGGATGAGGTCCCCATGCCTCAAGCTGTCGTCTCTCTGCCGCAGTCGAGGATCTCAGCGACTGGTCCGGTCCCTGCTTGCAATTAAAAAACTGAGCTCTCAGTGCAGCCACTGGAGTCACATCTCCATACAACCCATTCAGGTAAGTAAATATCTTCCCAGGTGTGTTTCTATCAGCCTGCTCCAAGGTCAATACTTCCCTCCTTGCAATCCCATCTAAAAACCCCAACACATAGTCTGCTTTCTGTAAGTCATTTAGTGGCTGGAAGTTCAACATCATCTCTATCTGGGGCCTCCACTCCCCCAACTTAACACTAGAGCCCTCCCCGCTAAATCTCTGCAGCCATGGCATCCACATTACAAAAGGCATTGTGGGGACTTGGGGCCCTGCGGCCGGTCCCGGTACTGGTTCGTCACCAAGCATGTTGAACGGTAGCAGCTAGCTCAACCCAAGCAGATCCTGCCGACAACGCCAAGTGTGACCGCCGCCGCGCGGCTGTTCGCTCGCGGGTCGGCTAGTTAAAAGAAACAATTAAAACTTAATTTGGGTAAGGTTCTTCTGGGGAACGGGCAGCACCGAAACAACATGAGGCTCAGACCAGTACAGTTTATAAAACCAATGCCAGTGTCTATTAAAAAATAGAAAACAATGAAGCACAAAAATAATTCATAATAAAAACTCTCTCTCACACACACACACACACGTCACCCCGGTGACAAGTGCTGCTTTTTAAAAGCAGAGAATACGGAGGTTTAGCTGCCGTAGATCTGGGTATCCGCCTCACGATAGCTTTTGTAAAAAATGTTTCCACAGCCATCTCCAGGAACGCTCTCTGGCTGGGTGATCCTGTCAAATGGCATAACAGATGAGGCAGGGCCAGACAGGGTCCCTACTACAACTTAATTTACTGGAATTTTATTGCACAACACCAGCACTTACAGATAGACTGGGTGGGTTTTAGCAGCAAACATATTTTCATAAAAATTAACGATTTTAAATATGGGGGTTTTATTCATTACGCGGTTGGCGATGGGGTCTCTGAAGTTACTTTCAGAGAGCCTTCGGGATGCCTGGTGGCTCATGTCAGTCAGTAGACTCCCAGTAAGAGCGGTGGTGTCCTGGTGTTGCTTTGTTAAAACAAAAGAATGTCCAATGAGACATTGTGAGGAGGACAAGACACAGCAGTACCTCCTGATGGACTGCTATAGAACTCAGGAGGTCTGGAACATTTTAGATGGTCTTGGCCTCTCTTTCATACGTAATTATAGATCTGTTACATATGGACTTCTTGAAGAAATCATGCCCACAAAGAAAAAAGAACTATTTTAACTGGTCAGCATCGTTTGCCAAAAACTTTGGAAAACTAGATGCGCCATGAGTATACACCAGACTATCATAGACAGCGACATGGTCGTGAGGCAGATTCTGACCGAACTCCGCAGAAGGAGAACTTTGGACAAGACACAGTCTCTCCCCTGGAGCTCACTGGATTTACGAGGGAAAGAGCCCCCCCGAGCAGCGACACTGAGCACTTTAGCACCTGGCACTTTCTACTGTTGGGTAAGCACTTTATTAATGTATAGGTTGTGTTTTAATCATTTTGTGTTTGGTTGAATAATTGTGTGTGATATGTAGACTATTTAGATGTGTATTTTTGGAATTGCTCTGTACTCTGTCATGTTTGAAAATAAATAAAGATCCTTAAAAAAAAAAAAATTAAAAGCAGGCCAATCCTTGTCATACAGAGGTGACAAGCTATTGGACTGAAAAGTTTTTTTATTTTGAAAGGTCTATTCAAAATCACCATATGTCAGTGTGAAGACAGGAAATTAAACTGGCGATAAAATGGCTCCATAAAAAAGTTTAACCTTGTGATATTCCACATGATTTATTTTAATAGCATATATAATTTAAATATTAACCACTTAATTTTGCAACTGGTGAGAGGATTATTAACAGGTCACAACTTTTCAGCTTATGGCAGTATAAGTGCAGTACTATATGTAATATACACAAAACATAAAATCTTTACAATAGCCCCCCCAATATCACAGAAAACAAAATTGGACTAAAAAGCACTGATGCCATAAATGTATTTCACTTCTTGCATTAAAACTCAAGACATACTCACAGTCCTATGTTTAAAGGTTTAACAAGAAATAGCTCCTCCACTGAATACTATTTACAAAATATTAAAAATCCTATTCTGTATACTAGACACATGCATGTAGTAAACTTGCAATAATAAGAGAATACACATATTTGTGCATGGCATAAAGAGTGGAAACAGAAGGAAGCAGTTAGCCTGGCTTAACCTGGCTCTTTGTTTTTTGTACAGATTAAAGAAATATTATTATATCATTATTATTATTATTATTATAAAAACAGATATTACGTGTTAGCTGGTAGGTGGATTTTGTTACCTTTAAACATAGCTAGCAGCTAACCGCTGGCTGTAGCTTCATATTGAGAGCACAGACTTTAGAGTACTATCAATCTTCTCATCAAACGCTCCACAAGAAAGCAAATAAGAGCATTTCCCAAAATTGTCTTTGATAGAACATACTCTTAAATGTAAAAAATAATGACACAGCAGCCAACTAATATTACAATAGTCCAAAAAGCAATAACAATTACCCTCTCACCGAAACAGCATTATTTCACAGAAAATATTTCCTTTTTTTTTTCAACTTTTTTACAGATAAAAATCAGTAGTCACCTGTGTGGTCACTGTACAGGGCATGATGAACGAATAAGTCATGTCATAATATACAAACAACAATAAAAAAGCCCGCATTCATTAACTATTTAAAGAAAACGCTATCTAAAACTTCATTTTGTCATTCATTTGGATTTTGGCAGAGATAGTGTCCACTGTATTGTCACTGTAGTCCTTCTGCTTGCAGCATTTACTGTGAATGAATTTGAAGAGGGCGAACAGTGGGATGGATAAACTGGGAACTCCAGCCAGGATGAAGATGATGACATAGATCCAGGGAGGGAATGGACGGGCTTCGAGGGTGGGGAAGCTCTCCTACGACCAATCAGGGAAAATGTTACAATGTTACAGCACACAATGCGGCAGATGGTTTGTTTTATAACCATCATCAATGATAAGAAAAAGCATTCAGTGGTGAATTTGTCGTAGTCAATTTTTACCACCATCAAAAATAGAAAAAATTAAGAAATCTCATCTACAAAGGTCATAATGCTTAAACAATTGGGATTAGCACACTTACCGCATTCTGGTCCCAGACCAAATAGGTGAGACTCTTGGTGATTTGGGTTACAAAGTAGAAAACCAAGATGACAACCATAATGAGTGGACTAACCACCCTCCATGTCACCTGCCAGAAAATATTGGGCTTGTGGCCGATCATAAATTCAATGTCCTTGTTAAACCTGTTTGGAAGCAGTAAGAGTGAGACATAATGTCAGCTGAGTGCCTATGAAAAGAGCCATAAAAGATGACCTTGTACTTTTATTAGACACAGTGAATGATGCAGCATGTGTGTGTTCTGCTCTGCCCTGGCCTTCAAGGAAATGCAATTCCACTCTGTTACTTTAGTCTGCAAACTAACCTTGTGTCCTAACATATAAACGGGGGAAAGAGAAAGAGTCTACAGCCACGCTAGCAGCTTTCTGACTGTATAATCGTGCTTTTACCTAAATGCTAATGTCAGCATGCTAATATGCTCTCATTGACAATGCTAACATAATGTGACCAGATTTATAAAATGAAAACCGGGGGCATTTCCAGTTCTACGGTCATTGTGTCATTAAAATATTCACTGTTATTATCTATGAAATAAAAAAAGGGGACCATTGCGGTTTCACATATTTTGACCATGGTAACTAGGCTGACTGATAAAATTGGGTACTACCAGCCTATTCAATCCTCCAAAGTTGGTCATTTGTTTTCCAGGTTAAATATTTTGATGACCACAAAAACCTCAGCTGCAATTTCCTCTGCTGTTTCTCCTTTCAATTCATCAAAATCAAGCAGTTTTGTCTCAACAGTAATAATTTAATATCTGACTACTATTGGCAGCAGCTTTACATGTCGGTTTTTCCCCAGTCTCTCATTTGATATTTGCTTGCTCCTCCGGAAGTCATTCTTGTCATGTGGGCCATCTCAAAGCTCATATTTCTGTTTCAAGGATCAAGCAGCTAGACAGGATCTCTTAAGAGCCATGAGCAGCCTTCATTAGCCGACATGCCCCCTTACTGGATGTCAGTTATTGATTAGAAGCTGCAGCTTTGTGGACTCATCAGATACATCGCAACATCACTGGACTTTTCACTGGAGTGCTGATTAAACTTAAGTGTATCACTCAAGTTTTATACTTGATTTGATTCAACATCTACTTAAAAATGTATTCATTGTAGGTCTGAACAATAAAAGGACCACAAACAACAATCTTCATTTATTAGAATTATTGGTAACACTTTCTATGAAGTTCATAGAAGTTTCATTGATATAATGACTTATGCATACATTTATATCACGATATAATGCGCCCATAAGACATTATAACAATTGCTATAATCACTTACAAAGATGCATTAGGCGCTATAGCAAAGTTCATAACGTATTATGACCTTTTGATTTAATGTTTTATAACTAATAGTAATACCAGTTTATGTCAATGTGCACCAAGACTCTCCGACCATGTTCCAAAGTACATTATAACCATCGACTCTGCCTGGTTATAAATACACTTCAGTCCATTTAGACCGTTTAGAATTAGAGATATAAAATGTAATAATGTTATATAGCATGTCTTTGTTTGTTTTAAGTAAAGTGTTAAAATATCTATCCCTGTATAATATATTACAGGTGGATATAATACCATATGACAAATTATAAGACCTTATAACACGTAATTGTTTGCTTTACGTAAGGTGAAATACATTTTGCGCAGGATTTTAACACTTTACTTAAAGCAAACAAAGACATGCTATATAACTTTAAACATTACTATAAGCTATTATTCCATTTTATGTCTCTAATTCTAAATTATGACTGAAGTGTATTTATAACGAGGCAGAGTCGGTGGTTATAATGTACTATGGAACATGGTCGGAGATTCTTGGCGCACATTGATTGATAAAGTGGTATTACTATTAGTTATAAAACATTAAATCAAAAGGTCATAATACGTTAATAAAACTTTGCTATAGCGCCTAATGCATGTTTGTAAGTGATTATAGCAATTGTTATATTGTCTTATGGACGCATTATATCCTTATAAATGTATGCATAAGTCATTATTACGATGACCTTCATAGAAAGTGTTACTGAATTATTTTTCATTTTATGATTTGTTATTTCTCCCATTACCTTTTTTTGTGGAGACAATTAAAGTCAGAGAGAGTCAGAGTCTGTCTGTCAGGAATTATCAGCTTCACGTGATTGAATGGACTTGTTGAAAAGGTGTTTCTTGCTAAGCATTGGGTTTGATATGAGTTATATCATTTAAATTTTCCTGAAACATTTAACCTAATAAATAACTTTTGAGGTTCAAAAGACACCATGACCATATCAGAGTTCATCACATCAGAGATCTTCAATAACAAAATCCACAATGTTTTGGCTAAAACTAGCATGAGCAAGTAGTTCGTAGAAGAAGAATAGTGATATGCTGCCTGGTCGGGAATCTTAATATGGCGAGGGCATGACCAGCCCTAATCTGCCTCTGACATTTCTCATTCAGTCCTCACTGAAAGAACATTAAGTTTTTGCTGTTCTGCTGTCTTCGGCAAATTAGCTTGAATTTGTTAAGCTGTAATCCTTTCTTCTAAATGCAGTCAATTTGTTCACAGTAGCCTATAGCTAGTAACCTATGTAGTAAACTGTGGAGGGTGAGAAGAAACATTTACATTAAGTAAAACATTTGTTATGTTTATAACCACCAGCACCTGTCTGGTTCATTTGACTAAACCTGTTCCATTTGGTGTTGTTATGTTGAGTCAAGGCTATGTTGAGGGCTATTGTTGATTGGACTGCTAGCTGCGTCTTCTTCATTTGCTAAAGTAGTTGGCGCATCTCAGTGTCTTACAATTTCACTGGACCAGCTATGTGGGATCCTACACCACCTCTTCAACCTAAGCCTGAGCCAGGAGAAAGTTCCTGTGTTTTGGAAGGCATTCTGCCTCGTTCCGGTACCAAATAATTCCTCTCCATCTGCCCTCAACGATTATAGACCAGCTGTATTAACATCCCACATGATGAAAGTCCCGGAGAGACTGTACTTGGGTCATCTTAGACCTCAGGTGACCACCTCCCTAAACCCACTGTGGTTTGCCTACTGCCCGAGGTGGGTGTCGAGGATGCCATCATCTACATGGTCCAGCGAGCCCACTCTCACTTAGACAAGGCTGGTATCATGTTCTTTGATTTCTCTATTGGTTTTAACGCAATCCAGCCTATACTACTCTGGGAGACGCCCTAAAAGACGCAGGTAGATACCTCCACAACCTCCTAGTTAATTGACTATCTGACAGATAGACCACAGTTTGTGCGACTGAGGTGATGTGTGTCTGAATAGGTGGTTAGCAGCACAGGAAGCACCACAGTGGACTGCAGTACAACTCTGAGTCCAGATGACTCTTTTTTGGGGGGGGTTCAGGGGAGGACCAGAACTAATTTCCACACCATTTATCCATGGAGAAGAGGTGGGGGTGGTGGAGGCTTGACAACAGATTGGACTGGACTGGACACTGAGGCTGTCTACAGGAAGGGACAGCGCAGACTCTACTTCTTGAGCAAGCTTAGGTCCTTTACTGTGTGCTGCAAGATGTTGCACATTTTACCATTCTGTACAGTTTTCCTTTCAGCCATCTGTTGGGGCAGCAGCCTTAGAGCCAGTGACACAAAGAAGCCCTGGAGCCTCTAGAGTTGTTGCAAAACTGCTCAAAATGATGGACTGCACCTTGCATCCTCTGCTCAAACTACTAGTTGACAATAAAGTCTCTTCATTCGGAGACTCCTTCAGATCCACAGTAAATAGGACTGCTACAGGAAGTCATTCCTTCCGACTGCAATTAAATATACAATGACTCCCCACTGGGCTGGGAAAGGAGAGCTTTTTCTGATTTACAGTCACAGTGCACATTCTACACTCGTTGTCGTCATTATTTTATGTAAACCGCTGCTCCTGCTCCTTCAGGGATGGACAAAGTATCTGTCTATCTGTCTGTCTGTCTGTTTTTAACGCAGAGTTAAAAATGGGTAAATTTTGTGGACACAGATGCAATGGAAAACGGGGATGTCTGGTCACGCTGTGCTAACATGTTATTTAGCAGGTATAATGTTGTGTACCATATTAGTTTAGCATGTTTACATTTGCTAATTAGCACTACACACAAAGCTGCTTGCGTGGCAAAAAAGCAATTACCTTGGAAACTTAATAATCTGGATCCTGGATGGACTCACCTATCTATGCCATAGATGTAGATTACAGAGATCATTTCACAAAATCCAATGATCAGAAGGGGAATAGAGCCAGCAAAGTTGTCAAAAAGAGCTAGCCAGTAGTTTCCAGAGCGCAGGGAAAATATGAGCCCCAAACCCAAAGAGATTAAGCAAGTAATGCCTGGAAAAACAATATAAAAAAGCGTTACTCTCATTTGTCTAGATCAATTATACTAAACCTGACATGAAAATATATTTTATGTTTAATATGAAATTTAGAAAATTACCACAGAAAACTTCTTTGGGCCAAGTTCGGGGCAACAGTTTGAGGTCCTGCAAAGGAACCACCACTCCCTCAATGTTGCCAAACATAGTCGAGAGGCCGAGGCAGAAGAGCATGACAAAGAAAAGGACAGCCCAGAGGGGAGAAATAGGCATCTTGATGATTGCTTCTGTGAACACGATGAAGGCCAGACCTGTTCCCTCGACTCCCTAAATGGATTAAACACCAGTTGTTTCAGCCATTGACCCACTTGTCAGAGAGACTAATACTAGCTAAATTGTTATCAATTAATAACAATGGTAAAATATTCAAATGGTATCTACTGACCTGACTGAGTAAAACCTGCATGTCACAGGTCTGTAGTTGCAATTCTTGTATGATATCTGGATTTGTTTGGTTGAGGTGGGTCAGAACTTCATTATAGTTGCTTTCTGTGATGTTGTTTTCAGGATAGTTGAAGGCGTTCATCAGCTTCAAGATGTTGCTGCAAAAAAAGCAGAGACATTTTGATATCATGGAATCCCAAATACTTATTATTTTTTTTTGGACAATTTGAAACTCACTCTCCCGTGCAGTCATCAAATTTTTGTGTGGCCCTAAAGCCAATGATGGAGTAGATAACCGTTGCAGAGTATACTGAGGTGCAGCCATTGATGATAGCAATGAGAACAGCATCCTGCTCACAGTTGTTGCTACAAAGAAATTGTTATCTTGTGAGGAAAACTGTTCAAAAGATGGTGCATTGTAATACATTAAATAACACACATTGTAATCAGTTTAGGCAGTTACTCACTGAATAGAGTTGTAACTGGAGAAAGAGATGAGACCTCCAAAAGCCAAGGAGAAGGAGTAGAAAACTTGAGCACCTGCATCCAACCAGGTTGTTGGATTCATTAACTCATTGACCTAAAAGAGAATATAAAAAGTAGAATTTTAATGTACATAGGTCTGATCTTCCAGGACACACAACAGAACGAGACGAGGAGTTAATCGTTAATTTACACACACTGAATATTACCCATTTGATTTCTCAATGTCTGAAATGGTCGGATCATTAGTGAAAATCTATCATAGTTTCATTCAGAATTTGTTGGCAGTGTTTAAACTTTCATTATTAGCTTTTATCTATTGTGTGATGAAGATTTACACCTAAATAATTCTTTAATTCATATGCAATTTTCTTTTCTCCCATAGGTCATAAGGTCATAGGTCTTATTTATTTTTTCCAGCATCCTTTGCACTATGCTCCATCACATTGTGTACATGTGTACATGTATACATGTATGTGTATGTGTACCTGTATATCATATCCACCTTCTGATTCTGATTCTGATTCTGTTGTTAGCGTTACTGCAGTAACTGTAGCTTCAGTTGCTAACGTTAGTTACATTACTTGCTGTGCCATTGTTAACCTTATAGCATGGTATTTGTCATGGAATTGGATTTCTCCAGAATTGCATACCCCAACATCAATGGACACATAAGAGTGGCATAGATCTTCTTGTCTATCTCACGGTAAGAAAGAAGTTGTTGCACTATTGCTTTAAACAATTTGCGCTATATTAATTTAACTGACACTTGTTGGTTGATGTGTTTCATCAGTGCTTACATCTGGTGTGAAGAGGTACTTGATTCCTTCTACAGAGCCTTTCAGAGTCAGTCCTCTAATGAGGAAGATAGTGAGGACCAGGTAAGGCAGAGTGGATGTGATGTACACAGCCTGAGAAATGAGAGAATAACAAAATCAGCCAATAGATATACTTGTATATTTGAACACACGTATGCTCTAAAGTAGTCATCCCTCCCACATTAGATTACTCAGATGTAATGTGACTTTCAGACCTTTCCAGTGGTCTCAATGCCCCGGATGCAACAGACATAGAGCAGAGTCCAGGCAGCTACCAGGCAAAGCACAATCCACCACTGCATATCTCCTGAATCATCAATAGCTGTGGAAGTATTCAGAGTCTCTCTGTACCAGAAGTAGTCAACAGTGCTGCTCCGAGCACACTCCTCCACTAGACCTACGTTGGACAGATAAGGCGATCGCAAAAGGCAAACTTAGGATCATAAACAGGATGTCAGGAACCTTGTAAAGAATTGTTACCACAGACCTTACAGCAGATGTGGGTTTATTGGAGCCTATCTGACTGCCATCTTGATATCTTTGAAAGCATACCTGTCTTATTAGCATTGAGAGGACATTGGCTCCAAGGCAGAGGATCCTGAAAGGAGTTGAACAGATACCACATGATCCAAGCCATGATGGTGTTGTAGTACATGCCCACCAAAAATGAAACAAACATGGAAGCAATACCTGTAACAAAATGAAACAATTAGTCTTGGGGTAATACTTTTTTTAAACTAAAAGAGTGAGAGTCCATGGTCATGCTAGCGGCTTTGTCGGGCTGTACATAAATGCTAACTTTACCATGCTTACATGTGCACAATGGCAACACTGACATGCTGATGTAAAGCAGTTGTAATGTTCATAATTTTCACCATTTTAGTTTAGTATGTTAGCATGCTAATATTTGCTAATTAGCACTAAACACAAAGTGCAGCTGATGCTGATGGGAATGCCATTAGTTTTGCAGGTATTTGGTAAAAAAGCAAAGTCTTGGGCAGAGTGAAATTTTGACTACTAGACACACTAGATGAACATTTAAGGTGTCACCAAATGGTACTTATTCATCATGTGGGGGACATGCATGCTGTACAAAAGTTAATGGCAATTCATCCTGTTGTTGAGACATTTCACATAAAACCACAAAAGTGAACTTCATGGTAGCGCTAGAGGAAAAGTAAGTGGATGTCAAAGTCAGTATAAGATTCATCCTCTGGGCATCATGAATGTCTGTAAAATGTTCCATGTGAATCCATCCCATACTTTAGATATTTCATTAGGGACCAAAGTAGTGGACCAACCAACAGAATTACATTATTACTATCCCTGGAGCCATGCTACTAGCATGGCTAAGATGGCTAAAAACCTACACAACCTAATGTACGTGCATTTTTTTTAACCCACCAACTCCCATCAGGTGCGGATTGATTGAGCTCCACACTCCCACACTACCCTTCCTCAGGCGCTGACCGATTGCAAACTCCAGGTGCAGCAGTGGGATTCCCTCCAGGACCACCAGGATAAGGAATGGGATCATAAACGCTCCTAGGAACATTCACATTATAAAAATGAGTTAACAATATGGTCAGTGATTGACTTTAATCAGCACTTAGGTAAATAAAGGTAAATAAAAATTCCAGCAGAGGACTTCATTCGCAAAACTGTTCCCATAAGGATGCCCATAAACTGTAAAAAGCATGGTACATGTTTTATTACCTAGACTTGGTAGTGGTTAAATAGACTTTCACATTTACTTTACATGGCGTCTAAGAAAGAAAGTAAAGAAAAATCAATCAATTGGCAGTTGGTGTTAATAAAAATGTCTGTTTAAGCATATCCTTTTGATTTACTGATTGATTTGAAACTTTTAAGGTCTTTTAAGGCCTTGTTTTTTATTTTCAAGCTTTGTAAAGAGCAAATTATGTCGGGAAAAAATGTGTACTAAGACAGGACTACCACAAATACTGTATCTCTGCAGTCTAGTAACCTCTTACAACACTTTTAACCATACACTAAAGTTCTTGATTTGAATTCCTCATTCTTGAATGAATTAATCCAATCAAATGTGTCAGTTTAAGTGTTATATCTGCAATAATTGGACTTAATTATGGATGTTATGTATAATTTTATTTTAATAGATTTGGTAGACTGACTGAGATTTGGAAAAGTCCTCCTCAGCTACTGAAAACAGACACATTTAGATACTTTGATAATTCACACTGTGAGAGAACAACCAGTGACGTTTGTGTTTCTGTTTCGACATTGCTCATTTTCTGCCAGCTCTTAGTTTTTTATGCCTTTTTGAAAGAATTCAAAGAGAGAACACTCAGTTTCATCCTACCTCCTCCATGGCTTTGACACAGGTAAGGGAACCTCCAGACATTGCCAAGACCCACACAGAAGCCCACACAGGTGAGCAGATACTGGGCTTTGTTGTCCCATTTGGGCCTGTCCCCTGCCTCCTCCTTCTCCATCCTCTCCAAGTCCCCATGAGAAGGGATCCGGTCATCTAGATGTGGGTTTGGTAACTTCAGCTTCATGATGGCTTCTTGTAGACTTTACTGGTCCTTTCTCATCCAATCTGCTCTGTCTCGGTGGACTGTGCCTCTCTGAGTCCTTTACCCTTAATGTGTCTCCTGGGAAGGGGAAATGAGGTTGTTATCAGTAGCTCATTACAGCTGGTGTTGTATTATGTGATCTCAGCAAGTTTGAGCAACCTGCGCAACCTTCTTGATAATGGTTAATGCATCACATGGTGTGCCATCACGAACATCATAGCTTGATGGTATAATGTGATATGATGACGCTTTTATTCAGCATGTCAAACGACTTGTGTTGCTTACTTACTATATCGCTGCTCTTAAAACTTGATTTTACTGATGGCCAACAAGCATATCCGAAGCATTAAAAGGTGGCAATAACTACAGTTTTTGTGTCAGTTTGTTGTTGTTTGTTTGACAGAAGGAAGGAAACATTCTACAGTCAGAGGGAACACCCATCATAGCTTATCTTAACTTTAAAGTTACACCTTCTCCAGTTCTTGAGAAATCAGATTGTTTATTGCACAGGGATGTACAAGCATATAATTTCAATCTGTACAGACCATGTCCTCTCAAAATTGAAATAAAAATTTTGAACCATGCATTGGTTGAGGTTAATGTTTAGCACAATCATGAAAAAGTCACAGACAAAAGGAAGTGATTTTTCTTTTTCACGTTTCATGGTATGTTTTTTTCTGCAGTCTAATTGTTAAGCAATTTAGAGTGCATATAAACCTTATCAGTGTACCTGTCTAATACAATTATTAACCAAAGAATGCTGGTATCTGCATTTACAGAGTGGTGTATATTGACTTGAAATCTATCTGGTCATATCCAGGGTTATATTTAGGACCTGTGTGTGTGAGTCACTACTGTTAACCTTGTAGAGATACGGATCAACCACCAAAACGTAGTGGTTCAGTAGATATGTGGAGCCATGTTTGTCTAACTGAAATCTTTAGCAATTTCTTTACATGAAAATGAAGAGTTATCCTTTGTGATACAAATCTGAGTTTTGCATTATTAACTATAATGAACTATAATGTAATTTTCTAATGTTAAACTCAGATAAAATGTCAAAAAGTCATTGGACTGGATCCAAGCACCTCCATGACACATTATCTAAAGATAACGATATATAAGATAGTTAATCTGGATCGCCCTGGCCTCCAGCGCCACTGTGAGGAATCTCTGGGTTATTTTTGATCCTTTAACTCTCACATTAAGCAAACTTCAAGGACCACCTTTTCTCACCTATGTAATATTGTCTATCATCTAACATCTTGTCTAAAAATTATGCAGAAAAACTAGTCCATACTTTTGTTACTTCTAGGCTGGATTACTGCAATTCCAATGCAGGGTTACTTGTGGTTCCTAGAGTCTCCAAAAGTAGACTTGGAGCAAGAGCTTTCAGCTATCAAGCTCCTCTCCTGTGGAACCAGGTTTCAGTTTGGGTACAGGAGGCAGACACCATCTCCACATTTAAGAGTAGGCTTAAGACTTTCCTCTTTGATAAAGCTTATAGTTAGGGCTGGCTCAGGTCCTGAACCATCCCCTAGTTATGCTGCTATAGGCCTAGACTATCGGGGGATTTCCCACGATGCAGAGTTCCTCTCTCCTCTACTTTCTCTCTGAACCTCATCCCATTAATGCATGTTCATAACTTGACTTCTTCCCTTTCCTGAAGTCTTGTGCTTTGTCGTCCCTCTCCTCTCTACTCCTATCACTTTCTGCAGGTTTTTCTGGCTCTGGAGCTGTGGAGTCTGGATCTGTGGCTGCGAGTTGCGTACTGTCTCCATGTTCTTGCTCGACACCCTTTGCTACAACTGTTCTTTCCAGTCCTATTGTTATTATTATTATTGTCATTCACATTGAAGGTTTGCTATATCAACTTGAAAAGTGATGATATGTCAGTGTTGTATTTAACACTCATTTTCTGCTGCCCAAATAGTGGCCAAAAAAAAGAATTTTTGCAGGTAAGACAAGAACGAATTATAGAACGAAAAAAACCCATCAATTTCACATGTTGTTATTTCCAAGTAATTTCTTTTTTTTATTGCATTAACATAGTTAGAGTTATAGAAAAAGTTTCATGTGGAAACAATGACAACAACAAACTACTCCACAGGTCATTTAATAACATACAGGGACATACAGTGAACCCAGAACAGAAACCTTGTAGTTGCCTTAGTATATTTCAAAGTTGAGTATATAAACTAACTAATGTATTTGTGTAGGTTTTAATTAACAGTGACCCCACAATGAAATTGTTTTGTGAGTCAGTTCTTAACGTCCTAAAATCTGTTGATCAGATTTAACTCAAGCAAGTAGGTGTGAAACAGAAAGTAAGTGTTTTGCATTGCTTACTTATCTTTTCACCAAAAATACAATAATAATCTTATAGAATATTCATAATGATTCAGCATATTTGAATATACAAACCATATTTCTGCATCTAGAGGGAAATGTGACTTCATCAAGTAGCCCACTCCAATTTGTTGTTGTCATTTATTGTTTTGCTGCAGCAGCATCTTTGGAATAATTTATACAAAGCAAATCCGGGGATCAAAAGACTGGGAACTCCCGCCAGAATGAAGATAATAATGTTGATCCAGGTGGGATAGATTAGTGTCTCCAACACTGGAAAGTTTGCCTATAAACATGACAAGAAAAAGATGAAAACACATTAAAAAAAAATATGATCATTAGCAGCATAGTAGCTAACGATGGTTGTGAAACATACCGAGCTTGGATTCCAGGTGATGTATGTAAGTTTGGCGCTGACTTTGGTGGCAAAGTAAAACACAAAAATGACCAAGACAATCAAAGGGCTGACCACTCTCCACATGGCCTGCCAGAAGATGTTGGGTTTGTGTCCAATCATGAATTCAATATCTTTGTTAAACCTGTCACAGAAAAGAGATATGAATCGGGACTCAAAAGTTATGGATTTCATGGTTTGGTTGATGTTTGGTCTCTGGTTCAAGATGTCTTAACCACTTACCTATCCATTCCATATATGTAGGCTACAGCGGTCATCTCACAGAAGGCGATAATGAGTAGAGGGATGGAGCCAGCATAGCTGTCAAAGAGTGCTAACCAGTAATTACCCGACCGCAGAGCAAAGATGAGCGCGATCACAAAGGATGAGAGGCATACAATTCCTAAATTCCCAAACAACACAAAATACCTTATTTACAATCTCAGTCCACTGTAGAAATGTATGTACTGTCAGCATATTGGGTCCCCTAGGTCTGTTCCGTCATTTACCTGTGAGCACTTCTTTAGGACACTTCTTAGGAAAGATGTTTAGGTCCTGCAGAGGAACCACAACTCCCTCTATACTTCCAAACATGGTGGAAAGCCCGAGACAGAAGAGCATGATGAAAAATAGGACAGACCAGAGGGGAGAAATGGGCATCTTTGTGATGGCCTCTGTGAACACAATAAAGGCCAGACCTGTTCCCTCCACTCCCTGGAAAACAAGTGCACAATCAGCTGCAACACTTAGTGGACGGAGAGGAAAACAAACATTTTGATAATTAATAAAATCATCATACATCACTCAGAAAAGTCCTCAGGTTGCAGGTGCTGAGGCCCAGCCCCTGAATGATCTCGGGCCCTGCCACCGTACTGTTGAGGTTTTGCAGCGCTTCATCATAGTTGCTCTCTGTGATGTTCCCCTCAGTTAGATCAAATGCATTCAGCAGCATCATGATGTTTCTGAAACAGGAAGGTTAGGAACTAAGTACCTTAAAAATGGTTCACTGTTTTATCACTGTGAGAAAACTAATATTTAGCTTGGAAATCCTTCAAACTGTCCTTGATTTACTAAAACAAACTGATGTAATTGCCCATGCACATACTCATTCAGGCAGGCATCAAACTGCTCTGTTGCCCGGAAGCCGATGATGGAGTAGATAACAGTGGCAGAATAGACAGAAGTACATCCATTAATAATGGCGATGATAACAGCATCTTGCTCACAATTGTTACTGGAGAGAAAACAAAAGAATAGCTTTATCATACATTTCTGCAAAGTAAATAATTCCCACCCCCCCGGTCTAGACCTGGTCTGCATACTACTTGCTCTATAAAAGTGCAATGAGATAACTTCTGTTATGAGTTGGTGCTATTTACATTTTTTTACTTAATTTATTTTTCATAGAAAATGCTATAAAATAGAATATGAAATATTGTGAAATATTAGATGAAATATATAGTGTATGTACCTCATTGCATGTTATTCTGTTTATCTCCGCTCATAAGATTAGGTGCCACGTAGACTCAATATGTGCAGTGATCTACAGTACATACTTACTGAACAGGGTTGTAGCTGGAGAATGAGATAAGACCTCCAAAGGCCAGGGAAAAGGAGTAGAACACCTGGGCTCCTGCATCCAACCACGTTGATGGGTTCATCAACTCATCTAGCTAGAAATAGATATATTAGATAATATCATCAGCAGAGTGTTATGTCTGTCATGCTAATGGTAGGGAGAAAGTCATTAAAGGAGACATATTATGCGTTTCCATATTTTATGACTTTTCTACAATGTTGTCATGTCAGATATTCATGTTAAGCATGGCCAAAGTCTCAAATAATGAGTTAAAGGTATTAAAAAGAAATCCCTGTGAGCCAAAACATCAGATTTCCTCATGTTCTGAATGTTCTGTTTTGAACTGCTTTTTCTACCAACTGCTCCGTTCTACAACACAGGAGCTAGAGGAGCCGTATATGGTCATTTGCTCCGCACAGCTACACTCAGTCTGTCTGTACCGCCCAGCGATAACAACAGCATGGTAACCAAGAGGGAAGCTTCCGGTTAGAGAACTGATGCGAACACATCACATGAAGTCCCTTTAACCTGGAATATATTGAACGGACAGCAGGGGGCAAATTCTTCTGGTTGCAAAAAGAAGTCCGGTTCCATTAGAAATAATGGTAAAATTACCCTACTTCTCACCACATTTATTACCTCAGTAAACGCTTCCCTAATGAGTTTATGGTCTCACTTGCTAGTTTCATGTCTTCTTCAATACAACATGATGTTCATTTAGTAAATCATGGTCCCATTTAGAGGAAAATAGACCATTAAGCAGAGTATGCTTCAGGGCGGGATTATATGTGATTGAAAAGTCGTTACCTTGGCAACCTGTCAATCAGGCTACAGTGACTTGTACCCACAGCACTGTGTAAATTTAACCAGCGCCATTGAAAAAACTTATTAGGAGTTGGAGTTGAGTACATTTAGTTTTAAGACTGTTGTGCGCTAGACAAATACACTTACATCTGGTGTGAAGAGGTACTTGATTCCTTCTACAGAGCCTTTCAGAGTCAGTCCTCTGATGAGGAAGATAGTGAGGACTATGTATGGCAGAGTGGATGTGATGTAGACAGCCTGAGAGACAGGAAAGACAAATCTTATACAATTTAAAACTAACATTATATATCTAAAAATGGCTGGTATGGTTTCCGTAGGGGGGGGGGGGGGGGTCTGTCTTTTTCCAAAGTGAAAAAAAATTCTAACTCCTTGTATCTTGCTTGTGTAATCCACACAAGAACATAAATGTAAACACCTGTGCCCTTGCTGTTTCTTAGCGCAGTGACTATATCACTGCAAACCTTCTATTCACACTGTTTAGGCCTGAACTACCTTCTTTTGCTTTGTCACCTATTTGGATACAACCAGATAGGTGACAAACAGATAAAAACAAAATGTAGTTTCTTTTAAATTAGCTGAATTCCTTGTTAATATACATGTTTAATGTAGATTTTAACCATTTTACCATAAGTTTTTTGACACTTCCTGCAATTCTTTTTACAAACTGAAAGATATCGTCATTATCAGAATTTCTAGATAACTATGTTAATAGTCCTAAGTCCTAAGCAGAGGTGTGAGTGTACCATGGATGTGCATGGCCTTTAAAATGCAACAATTCACAGTATCAAACTATTATTTTTGGTCAGATATGTTGCTAATGCATGGCATGAGCAATCCATGCTGCCACATTACACACATTAGATGCCCTACCTTGCCTGTGGTCTCAATCCCTCTAATGCAGCATATGTAGAGCACACTCCAAGCAGTCACCAAACAAAGCACCATCCACCACTGCAGACCTCCAGCCTCTTCTATAGTCTCTGAGGTGTTCAGAGTCTCTCTGTACCAGAAGTAGTCCACTGGAGAGCTGCGTTTGCATTCTGAAACTACATCTGCAAGAAGCGGGGAAATCAAATCATTCGAATTGATTGTAAAATGTAAGACTGAAATTGAAAGACATATTTAAAAATGGTGACATGCCTGTGAGATTATCATTGAGAGGACACTGGCTCCATGGCAGGGGGCTTTGAAAAGAGTTGAAAAAGTACCACATCACCCAGGCGATGATGGTGTTGTAGTACATGCCCACCAAGAATGAGACAGTCATGGATGCAATACCTGTAACAGAAGAGGGAAAGCAACAGTGCTACATTTTGCACCACAGAAATGTCAAATTTATTTTACATGCTTTTACATGCGCTCACCGACTCCAGTCAAGTAAGGGTTGATTGCAGCCCAAACCCCTACACTGCCTTTTCTGAGGCGTTGGCCGATGGCAAACTCCAGGTACAACAGTGGGATACCCTCCAAGACGAGCAGGATAAGAAAGGGGATCATAAAAGCACCTGGGGGACACACCAAGGCAAGCTTAGATAACTGGAAAGATAGAAGAGGCATGCTCTATGCCAAGAGATTAGCATAGATACATCTTCTTTACTGTAACCATGTGTGATCGTTGCAACATTAGATACGCTTCAACATGTGGAAATGGTCAGTCACACCATGAAATAAACACTTCCTTTCGTTTACTGTCTGCTTGATTCCTTTAATGTACACGTATCAATTCTCCTCCCAATTCATTTAATAGTTAATCTTTCAAAACGTCAACATCCTGCCAGAAACTGGCAACACTTTTATTGTCTTCATTATCATGCATGACAGTGCAGAAGGCTCAGGGCTGAAAGTTCAATCTGCTATCAGGACTTTTTTTTAAGATAGCAGAGTTAGAGCAGAGATAGAGTTTTAAATCAGCTGATATGAAAAGAATGAATGATATGCACACGCTCCTGAGTGGCAGAGAGACTTTGAAATTGGATTTCCACCTCTTAAATGTGTTCAGCTTATCTATCTATCTATCTATCTATCAAGTTTTGACCTGAGGGTTCATGGCAAGTTAAAGATTAAAAGAGTCTCTTCCCTCAGCTGGCCCAATGTACTTAGCTTTTTGTAATGTGAGCTATCTTGTCACCTTTAGCCTATTTTATCTCAATTACGGTATTTGTTGGTGTTCGGTTGGGTGAAAACTTTGCATCTTCAAATTTTTTACTTTTCAAACACTATATAAAAAGTTGTTAGTAGCTTAATCACTCTGTGTATTCAATTCTGAAAAATAAGCTAAAAAACAAAATAGCTTATCTTAAAGGAGTTTATATATAGCTTTGCTATAGCTGAACTACAAGAAGTAGTCAAGACCGCCCAAACCGAGACCAAGTCAAGACCAAGACCAGAGTTTAACGAGACCGAGACAAGACCAAGACTTTTAGGGGCTGAGACCAAGACAGAGGGAGGGTGAGACCAAGTCAAGACCAAGACCAGCCCCTCCCCCATTACATGACATACAATAAAATGTGGAATGATATCATAGGTAATTCTCAAATTGATCTGAAAGATCCACATTGAGACCAAGATCGGTCTCGAGTACTACAACGCTAGTGTCCACTGGCCCACTGTGATACTCTATGTGGAATGGTGAGCTTTGAGTTTCTGTGTGTGGCATGGTGGGTAATGCTACTCATGCTAACAACCTGGTTCTTTATCAATATTCAAAATAAGCCAGAATATGTTTTATAATAATATACAGTATAATATGTTTTTAGCCATACTGGCTGTGTGGCTCTGGGTGACACTGTTGCCCTGTTAGCCAGGTTTGTAGGTTGATCCACCAGTTTGGTCCGGACTGAAATATTTTAACAGCTATTGGAGGGGTTGCCATGAAATTGTACAGATACTTATGTTCCCTAGAGAATGATTCCCACTCATTTGATGATCCCCGATTGTATTCTAGCACCACTAGCAGGTGGACATTAGTGTGGTGTTGAGTGAAATGTCTTGACTATTGAATGGACTGTTATAACATTTGATACAATTGTAATCATGCTGCTGATCCCTTAACTTGTTACATAGTGCCATCGTCAGGTCAAATTTGGAATTTATGACCAAATAAATTGGCATCAGCCTCAACTGTATATTGTGTTTAGTGTTAATTAGAAAATGTTAGTAAAACGGTTAACGTGGTAAACATTATACCTGCAAAATATCTGCATGTTAGCATTACCATAGTGAGCATGATTGAATGCTGACATTAGTATTTACTCAAAGTAAAACTGCATCATAGAGCATGGCTGTGGGCTCTTTGTGTTAGTCATCAAAACTCTTCAATAAGTTGATATAAGGAGGTGGAAAACAGTGATTAAGTTTCATGAGTTTATTTTATGTACTAAAGGTAACAGATTGCAAAGTGTATAAAATATTATTTCTTTACAGGCTACTGTACTGGCATCTGTGCTGCTCTGGCTGACACATTCTGAGTGTTTGCTAACTTGAGATATGCTGATTTGTCAGGCAACACCTCAGCACAAGGCCATGTTTACGTTTACATGTGACGACCCCCTCACCCCTTCAGTCAAGAGGTAAAGTTCAAGGAATCTGCAAAAAATATATATATATTTTTTAAATCAGCCTGTCACCAACCAGTGTACATTGACCACAGCTATGTAGCTAAATGGAAAATAAAAGAAAACAAAACATCCCTGTACAGTGGTTTAACGCCTCAGTAGTTCTGTCCTGTGTAATGGAGATTTAAGCTTTATACAGCAATGTCCATTCATCCACCTACATGAGTTAATAATTAACTTAAATTACTCTAAGTGCAGATGTTTGTTCAATACGTATTTCTTTAGGTTTTATATTTTCAACTCACACCAGAATCCTGTGTCTTTAAGAAAAAATACATACGATGACTTATGAACAAAAGTGATACTAAAAAAGTTCTTGCATTTTATTTACAATTTAAGGCTAGTCAAATAAATTAAATTAAGTAAACTTAAGTGATACAAACCATTATAATTTGCGTAATCACCAGACAGAATGTTAAAGTAGCAGAATCAATGTTTGATTTTATGCTGTATAATACTGATTAATTCTAATTTAATGTTGAATTATAATGCTTTAATGGCAAACACAATACATGAGGTCTAATTGTCATGAACCTTCAATGTGCATGTTTTAGCATTTCCTGGAAAGTAATTTGCTTATTTCTATATTATTTTCAGATTTCTCTACATGCCTTTATTTCACATTTTGACTAGAGATAAGAAGATCTTACCCCCTCCATGGCTTTGACACAGGTAAGGGAACCTCCAGACATTGCCAAGTCCCACACAGAAGCCCACACAGGTGAGCAGATACTGCGCTTTGTTGTCCCATTTGGGTCTGTCTCCAGCCTCCTCCTTCTCCATTTTCTCCAGGTCCTCATGGGAGGGGATCCTCTCTTCAAGCCCAGGGTTGGGAAGAACCAGTCTCATGTTGTCTGTAGAGCTAATCCAGTGGACAGATCCAAAATGTCTAGAAAGCTTCTGGGAGCTGTGAGGTTCTCAGTGCTGCTGGCTATCTGAGAGCATGATAACTGATGGTGTGTGTAATTACGTTTTTCACATCGCATTTATCACTCCATCTCATCTAGCATATTAAGATACTGAGTGGAGGTGAGTGTCAACATTATAAAATGTCCCTGAAGATAATTCACAGGGTGTATCTTGAGGTGTGTGGTGGAGAATTTTGAATGCACACACATGTAGGTGCAATGTGCAAATGTGTTAGTTTATTATAATTTATTAACTATGTAGCTTGTACCACATATCTGATAGCAAACGGGAACTGAAAAAGGACACTACTGTCGAATACACCAAGTCATAGTTCTAAATTTATCATGAAAAGTTACCAATGAAGACCTTTACTACAGTATGCTTGCAGTTAAGTAATATTTTAAACATTGATCATGATACGAACCTGAGAGTGAATGTAGATTAAGAACTGTTAATAAGAAACCTAACTACTGTAAATGTGTGACAGAAGAATGTTAAGTAGTAGAATACTTTGATCTCACAAGAAATTGTATGAAAAAACAAAAAATCGCTCAAGAATACAGAGTCATTCAGATATTAGTTGGGTGTGGAGCGATAGTGGTCTTCTTGTTTGTATCATTATTAAGGTGAGGACACAACAAGTAAAAGTTTATGTATTTTTAAGTATAAAACATAACATTTCATAAAAAGAAATGATAAAGAAATATATGAAACAAAAGAAAGAGAACATTTCACAAAAACAGCAGCAGCAGTAAAAACACAATATTTCAGAAAACACACTAACTGGCCAGTGTAACAGGCCACGATCTTCCATCCCTCCAGGGCCTGTGCGGTTCCGGGACTCTGCAGCGAGCAGAAGAAATTGTGGCTGACCCCTCCCACCCCGGACACAAACTGTTTCAGACTCTCCCCTCTGGCAGGAGGTTGGACCAAAACCTCTCGCCACAGAAACAGCTTCTACCCGTCAGCAGTTGGCCTTGTCAACAAGGCCCGGGACCCCCACTGTTACTGACTCTTATGATCCAACCAATAACACCCCACCCCAAATACTAAATCTTAGTACAATAGAGCAAAAAATACGCCAGCACTTTTGCATCTAGCAATTCTTACTGTCACTTTTTTAGTGTCTTGTCATGTCTTAAGATATCTTATGTTGATCTTTGGTCGGTTTTAAATTTTATGTTGATTTTATGATGGTTTCCCATGATTGTGTTAAGAAGCAACAGATTGTAGCACTGTGCGAAGACCAATTTCCCCTCCGGTACAATAAAGTGTATTCTATTCTGTTCTATATATTCTATTTATTTTGTCAATTTCATATTTTTATATTTTTAAAGGTATTATTGCGCACCTAGTCACCAAAGCAAATTCCTTGTATTTGTAAAAACAAACTTGGCAATAAAGTTGTTTCTGATTCTGACGTCAGAAATACTGCACTAACTGCGTTTAAACTTTTTGGCCACTAGATGCCAGCATTGTTCAAAATTGCGCTTTAACTTGCAACAGAACTCCAGACAGCAAACAGTTACTCCTGTAATACTCTAGTTTGTTGCACTGTGTAGTGGCACTACACCAATCTTTGACCAAGTTGTTTTAGGCTATTTATTTAATAGCACCATCACATTCTGTAAAAGCTAACACAGTGTCAGTTCTAATGCAGCCTGAATAGCCTCCTAGTTTATTCACCCTATTTATTACTCGATGGTGTGTTGGGCTTTATTATTTAGCCTTTTCTGTAATGTTACAACGGCGTCTTAGATCGTTATTTGACATATGTTCATATTATTCTGTATAATATTGCCTTATAGTTCATTTTCACATAGGAAGCGACTGCTAAGCCGGGTGGTGGTACGGTGATCTGAAGGGAGGGGGAGGAGGGAGAGATGAGGCAGAGGGGAAAAGAGATATGAGGAGGGAGGGGTGTGGGGGGTGGATTTACTGGGACTCAGACAGACAGCAGACCGGCTGTCCCGAGCTGCGCTGATCCTTCACTCTCAGGCTGGGAGAGCCTGCTGCCTCCCCTTTATCACTGGCCACCTGCCTCTCCGAGAATAACACAGCGGCGTCAAAACGACCAGGGCGAGCAGAGCCAACCTCTCCGGCTTCCAGTACCGTCACTCCCCCCGCACCCCCGTCCTGCTGCGCACAGGGCGCACTTGGTGACCCGGGTTTGTTGTCGTTACCAGCAGAGGAGCGCTCAGCGACCAGAGCCGTCTAGCTGGTACAGCTCTCATCGAACCGGGCTACCCCCTCAGAGGAGCCACTTGCATGGATGCACCATGGCCACGTTTGTTTGCAGGGTTCAGTTTTTAGATGACACCGATCCGTTCAACAGCACCAATTTCCCAGAACCGACGAGACCGCCGCTGTACACCTTCAGGGAGGACATCCCACTCATCAACCAGTTAGCAGGCGTCCACCGGCTGCTCAAAGCTCCTCACAAGGTATCACCTAGACTTAACTTACCTAGCCTTATGAAAATATATTTATATAGGAATTTACAGTGAATTCCATCTTAAAGCATTATCACTAGTAACCTAGCTCAAGGACAACTAAAAATCAAAATACAAATCGTTCATGTCCAGATTCAAACATATTGGTGTGAACACATTGGTTTTAATCAGGACAACGCGAGATTGTTTTGCCACTTTTTACCACACAGCTGTTTTTTTTTTTCTTCAAGCCTACTGCAAATAAACTTCTATACCCACCATTCAGAGGCTAGCCTATTTTGAGAACACATGCGAGCACAAGTGATTGGCTCTCCAGCCAGAGGACTGAAACAAGGTTGCAAATGTTTGCCTCCAAGCCCACAGCAACATCAAACATGGACTTCCCTTGTTTTAGACTAAATATCATGATTTAATCCCATGTTGGCATACATTTGAAAAAGATGCTGGATCAGCACCAAGAAACCTTGAAGCAGGCCTCTAAACTTTGACCTCTCTAAAGGAGCTAGAGTGAAGTAGCAGTGAAGTGAATAATCCTTTCTTATTGATGAATCTAAGTTGCATGCTGCTTAGCATGTCAAAGTCACAGGTGTGCAAAGGCATCAGTGAAACTAGATATATCCTGAGCCGCCTCATTCATCTGCAAGTGACAGCTATAAAGCTCTGGTGCAGAGCGAAGAGCCTTAATCACAGATGATCAAATTTAGAGGGGAGTTTCAGATAGCGGTGGGTGTGTGAGTGCGTGAAAGTGTCTGTGTACCATTTTTGGTGATTTTCAATGTTTAAGAAAGGGGGGGGAAACAGCAAAACATTCTTTACTGACAAGACTGAGTCACGCAAACACATGAACACACCCACAGAGGATAAGTTAAGCAAAAACTACTTGACCTTGCTGTTGTTCTACGTTTGCAAGTAGATGCTATTTAATTTAAACCAAATTGAATTGAAAATAAAAGTGAGACACGGAGAGAAAGAATGAGTTCCACTGTTGGCACACTACCCTGACTGCAAACCCAGCGCTCAACAGCGGAGTGGTTTTCCAGACCAAGTAGATCTTTCGCTGCCCCATCTTTAAAAGCCACAAAACAAATGAAAAATGGTCCGCAGCACAGAAAAGCTTATGATTACAACCTACACACGGGCAGATGGCACAGCCTGCGTTCTTGTTTGCAATTTTGTTCACATCAGGAAGAAGGCTGTGCGCAATGGCAACTGGATATTGTGCTTAGATTATAGGGATGAAACTGAACTGTTGCAAATTTGCCCGTCAGACTGTCCAGATCTAACAGTTGGTGTTTAAAAGGCTTGAATGTGATTATGTTATTGGAAAATGTCAAAGCTAGCAAGACAATTTCCTGAGCTCTTTCTCTCTTTTTGTCTTAACCTTCTGTGCTCTTCTCTGAGAAAAGCCTACTGTATTATTATGTTGCGATGGTAGAGCTCTGTGTATATGGTTAGCTGGGCTACTTGTAAAGTATAGGTCACTTGTCCCAGAATTCCTGTGGCCCAGGCCCTGGATCCATGCGACACTTTGTTCCCCTCACTTTGGGTGCTGTGGTTTTCCTGACCTCTTCCTCCAGCCTCCTCTTCCACCTCCCTGACTGTGCACCAATTCGTACAGTCAAATATAAACACACATAAACACACACACACACACACACACACACACACACACACACACACACACACACACACACAAACACAAATAACGTTAGGCCAACTTGCCAGGGCTAAATTAGTGGATCACTGGTTTATGTCCATGGGATGTGTTTTTATCGAAACTGCTAAACAAAGAAGTTTCCTTTGGATTCTGACAGAAGATTTTATCACTGTCCTCTTCTAGGTTTAAAGAAATAAACCTGAAACTGATAAATGAGACTCAACGAAGTTCGTCAGAGTTGAACATTTAAATGTTAGTCACGTTGCAATGTAAAGATGTTACGAGTTAAATTAAGCAGGAAGACAAGTTATGCCCCCCAAAATGAAACATGGATGTTTAGCTGAATGCAGAAGCTTCACCATCAGTCAAACAGCTACACTTCTGCTACAGGGAAAAACCTCCCCCTCCTCTAAAAAGCAACAAAGCCTAGACTTAACAGCTCAACTTTTATTTCATTACCAAAGGGCTCCCATTAAAGCAACACTGGGAGATTTAATATCCTCATCCATGCCCTTCAAAGAGCCTGATCCTCTGTGGCTCTGATTTGTCTACACAAAAAAAAGTTCTTAAAAAGTCATCGTCTAAGTTACGTAAAGGCGCTGTTAACTGCCGACCCACCGTGATCGCCAGCAGGCTTGGTGTTGTTTTAACGTGGAAGTAATTACTCCCCTACCCCCACTTTTTTTTTTTTACTCCGGTTCGCTCTTCTGGGAGAATTTGATTAAATGAGTGTAAAGTATACTAGCCACTAAGTGTTTCCCTGGCCTGTCCCGGAGCTTTGAGTGTGAAGAGCCTGCGGTTCCTTCTGGAGCCACCTCTTTACCGGCTCCGTCCAGCATGACGTGTTTTGTTATGTTATTACAATTACCCAAACCAAGCGTTTTAGGAAAGGGACACCCTTTGGAGGGTGAGCTGTTAACGTATTGTGTTACAGAATGGTCCGGGGCTCACTTCTTGCTGTCCAAGCAGTATTTGTATGATTGAGTAATGTGTGTAGATAAAGCAGAGAAGAAAAAGTGAGCAGGGAGCTGGAGGTGGTGGTGGGGCTCTTTCTTGGGACATGTGTTAGACAGAATGGGAGATTTTCACAGACATAAAGAAAGCCTCAATCAAGGACAAAACATACTGTTAAGTATATATGGAATATACATAAATATGAATAATGCTTGCAGATTGGGCACAAGAAAGGCTTTTGTCATAAAAATAGGGGCAGTGGGACAGGGCATGATTACCCCCAGTCCCCCACTGATGTCACTCCCATCTGCCTGAGTTGTACTCGTGTTTAGTGCTAATCAACTCCCCTCTACTTAGTCAAACCTAGATGTAAGATTTACCAGATCTCACATGCCGTATTGGCACAGAAAGTGTGAATAACAATGGTACTTCATTAGCTGATGAAATTGGGGTTAGACTGCAAAGATGGCCCTTAAAATATTTGTGTTTTTAGTTAATATTTTTAGCACACTAGCAGCCATGCAGGCTTTAGTGTATGTCAAATTCCACCACTTTGTTCCATACTGAAATATATCATCAACTTTTGGATGGGTTGGCACAAAATGCTGAACTGACGTGCATCCCTTTGACTTTGGCGATTCCCTGACTTTTCATCTAGTGCCACCATGAGGTTGACATTTGTAGTTTTGCGGGAAATGTCTGACAGCTATTGGACTAATTGCCATGGAATTTGGCACACACATTCATGAATGATGAACTGTAACAACTTTGGGGATCCCTTAATATTTCATCTAGCACATGATGTCTAATACTTATATATTATATAAGTAATATATATATAAGTATCTGCCAAGCTAATGTCACTCCCATCTGCCTGAGTTGTACTCGTGTTAAGTGCTAATCAACAAATGTTAGCAAGTACACCTGCTAAACATCCACATGTTGGCATTATCACTGCGACCATGTTGCCACGCTAGGTTGGGTGGTACCCTTACCATTTTTCCCCTTGTCCGTGCAATGTCACAGTCATAGACTGTATATAAGAAGTGGACGTAGACATCGTGACGTCACCTGTGGGTTTGTGGATTGCCGTTTTAAAGCCTCGAGTTTGGCCGATAGGGTGCTGCCATGTTGCGTTTTTGTAGGTAGACCATAAACACATTAGGAAAGTGTTTACTGAGGTAATAAATCAGCTGAGAAGTGGGGTCATTTTACCATTATTTCTGAGGGAACCGGACTCCTCTTTTGCAACCAGAAGAGTTGCCCCCTGCTGGTCGTTCGATAGAATGCAGGTTAAAGGGACTTCGCATTGGATTCTCGTCTCTGACCGGAAGCTTCCCACTTGTTCACAGTGGTCTACCTACAAAGATCTGGTTATGACAGCATTTTAGTTGGCTCTAAGTAACTTCAATTAGGGACATGTCTGTGTAACTGGACCAGCAGAACCCAAAGTTTGTTTGTTGTTTGATTATGGCACATGATACCTTGCTCTGATCTTGGGATTGCTTAAAGAATATGATAAAGTAGCAGAGTACTGCAAAGTTTAGCGCAACATGGATGAGCTTCTCCTTTGAAACCCTTTGGCCTTGGCAGTGCCCCCCTTGAAATCCCAGCCCCTGCAGAGTGTGGACACACCCACACTCGGGCTCTTGTGTGCATGCTGCTTCAGAGCAGAGTAAATATAGCAAGGTTATATTTATGCTGTGAGGCCATCCGACAGTCCGTCTCTCTGTTTCCGAGTGAGAAGGAGGGACAGACAGAGAGCAGCACCAGGTCTTGTGATCTGCGGTCCCTGCTGCTCAGAGATCGTCGTCATGCAGCTCGCCTAGACGGCCAGGGGGCGTTTGGCAGCACTCCCGAGGCCGGGCTAGGTTAGGCCTACCAATATCATAGAGGTGCTAAATCCTAACTCATCTCATGACTCTGATCTCATGCACCTATTCATACACCAACAGCTTTAACAATAAGGTGCAAAGCTGATTGCTGATTGTAACAAAAATGCAATGAAGTTTGTTACTTTTTATGAGCTGTAGCTGGGATGGCTGCTTGCACCTGCTATCAGCTTGTGACTGTACTCATAAACATCAGTGGTGGTGGTGATTGTGTGCAGATATATTACTGTGCACCTGGTCTCAAACTCTGCAGGGTTTCTCATTACACAGCATTGTGGGTTAATTCTGACGTAGGCTGCTCTGCAATGCTTCCTTAGATCATGGAACCGTAGTTGGCATGGGTGCAAGACTGGTGTGATCTTGAGAAGAACAGAACCACAGCACAATCTGCAATGCGTATAAATGTACATGTGGAAATGATGTATGTGGGAAGGGCTGTGATTGCTTCCTCCACAAACATACAGAGACTTAAATGTGCTGTAGTTTCACATTGTACACAATTCAAGCCTTTTAAATGCATGACGTCCACTACAGTGGACAGATATTTGGAAGACATTTTGAGCCATTCATGTTATAGTACCATGTCCCAACCACCATTGGTTGGACCGCCAAAGTGTTGTCTACAATTCCATTTGTTATATTTCACATCTCTGTCATTTTGATATATTGCAATAAATACGATGTTAGAAATTACTTTTTTCTAGAATTTAATAATATTTTTTAATTATGATATAATTTACACTTGAATAACTTTGTGTGTTCATACCACTTACTTTTTTTGGACCTATATTGAGTTCCATTGAATCAGTTTTTATGCTGTTGATGTATGGTGTCAACAGATTTCAAAATTCAATATATTAGGAAAAAAAGTTTACAGGGATACATTTGTTTTAAAGTAAAAACAAAAAAGATTATTTTGGGATTTAATAATTCAGTGTCATTTTTCTCACACCTGGTATTTAAATGCAACAAAATCTTTCTTTCTGTCTCTGTGTTTCCGGTGTTCTGGTTTTGGTTTCATGTTCTGCAGTCTTTATAGCTATGTCTCTACTAGTTTATTCCCCTAACAGCTTTATAATGCCAAAAGCAGAGCCACACCGCTTACGGCTCTCCCACTTTTCATGGATCACTGTACACACTCGTGTCAAATTCGAGCCCCATAAACCGGCTTTATTTTACGGGCCCAAATTGTTTTACAAAGGGGTGTGAAACACATGCAGAGACATAGTGAGGGAGCATTAAAAAATAGTGGGCCGAGAGACCAGTGTCATTCCTGTGGGTGGTTCATGTACGTACATCACAGCCTGGCCAGGGAAATTTCACATGCCACCCTGTATGTCCAAGTGCTCAATCATATTTTCCATCCCTAATTTAGGTATACAGGCCAAATTTAAGACTGTAACCACTTTTAGTTTAATCCAATCTAGTATTGTAGTTCACGTCCATTTCAACGCTTTGTATTGAAAGGATTTTCTTTCTCTCTTTTCCATAGCTTGATGACTGCACGCTGCAGCTTTCCCACAATGGCACCTATTTGGATCTGGAGTCCTCTCTGTCAGAGCAAAGGGACGAGCTGGAAGGCTTTCAGCAGGATGAAACAGGGTGAGACTGATTCACTTTTACACCCTCTGAAACAGTCAGACATTGACAATCTCACTCTTCACTGTCAAAACATCTCAAACCATTTGACACACACACACAAACACACGCACGCACGCACACACACACACACACACACACACACACACACACACGCAGTTTCTCTATTCTTATAAAATGTGAAGAATCACAAGCTGCTGGATATGGATTTCTTGGAAGCACAAGTTCACGGAAAGTATGAAGCGCTCTGGAAAGCAGGACAGATATGCCCTCCCTTCCACGGCTACAGCTTGTCTCTCACTGTGTTTTTACTGAACTGATATTCTGATCTTTTTGACAAATTTTCACAGTTCACAAACCTGTCAAATGTAGAAGAGTCGGCATGATCACTGTGTAACAGTACTGTCGTGAAGTATTCTCTGATGTCTCTCAGATCTCTCGGTAGCAGTGCTGGTGTCTCTCTTTGGGTCAAAAAGAGAAATGTAAAATGGAAACCTGCTACTAGAGCTCAGGATTTCCTCCAGAAAATTGCATAGCAGAGGTGGTGAGCCATGTAGATCTTGACACATGTTGTCTTGTGATCAATTTAGTTAGTAAATTGTGGCTTAAACGATAGTGACACAGCGTCAATAAATATCAGCTTGAATGAGCTACTAACACAAAACTTAGTACAATACCTGTAAATGGCTTCCACAGAAATATGAACCCAATTAGCCAGATGGTGTTTAAGGCCCAAAACACAAATGCCAACGTGTACCTCAAAACACGGCTGACAGATTTACACCAGTTTTGGCATGTGTCATGTGGATTGGTGCATGTGGGTGTGTTCTATTCATTCTTGCCATTTTTTTATGCCTTCACTCAAATTGTGGTGAGCTGGAACGAGCTAGAGACATAAATTTCTACATAACTGGAGATGACAAGCAAGTGCTTCACAAAAAATACGAGCCCAATCAGCCTAATGGTGGCGCTATAACTAACCAACAGCCAAAGAAAGTGACATAAGTAATTGAAGGTGTGCTTGACTTCATGCGGCGCTTCTCAGCGCTGATTTAAAGTGATGCATGCTGGACGGCATGCTGGTTAGATATTTTGTCTCATGTCACATGACATTAAAATCTTGTGGGAGCAAGGCAAGGTAGTTTTCTGATTCCAGCTACCACAGTTGCTTTTTTTTTAACCTACAAATGAGTCATTGTTTTAAGCTCACAGTAAGCTCAACCACTCAAGTAGAATGTGTCAGACTTGACAGCAGTGCTTTTATACCCCACCCCTGATGTATGATGATTAATGTATTTAATTCGATCACTAGGAACCTCTACAAATGCAAAAAAACAAGGCTTAACAAATCACACTATAAATTGTTTGTCCAATCACTGCAAAACTTGCAGTATATGTTTTATAACAACATTGAACCATGTGTGTGAAATTGTTTAGATATCACTCGAACTCAAAAGGGCTTGAACCTGGGAATTGCAGCCTTGGCTATACTGAAATACTTGCATTTTCTGTGTGAAATAGCACTTCAGTGTTTGCCAGGAGTACAATATGTAAAGATTCAATAATTTCATCATCTCAGGTTTTCCTTCATTAAATAAAATGACAAATAGCTTTCCAATCTTCATCATATATCAACATATGTCATTATGTCTGTGTATTATGGCAAACTGACCCTGGAGCTGCTATAAATTATAATAAGCCAATCACATTTGATTTTCCATACCTGACAGCAATGTAATGTTATAAGTTACTGTTATTCTCTTTAATCTAATAATAATAATATTAATCGTTATTTATGGAGCACTTTTCAAAAACCATGTAACAAAGTGCTTTCACAGATTTAAGTTTCACCAGTGGTTTAACAATAAGCCAGTTTTGCTTAGCTGACCAGGTGTTGTTAGTTTAACTAATTAGCTGTATAATGGACATTATCTATTATCTATTCCTTCAGCTGATGTACAGTAACATTGTCAGTGGTGAATTAGTTCCCAGTACCAAAACATTAGATAAACTGTGTTCAGTGCTGCTAAAGTCACGACTTTAGAAATGTGCTTTGCTCTCTGCTGTTGCGTCCAACATGGGTGACAAAACATCGTCACATATAACTCTGACAAATACACAGCTGTTAACTGGCTGCATATGTAAGTGTGTGGCAATGTGTGTTTGTGGAGAGTTGTGGCATGTTGATCTGTTTGGCGACTGGGGGCCACAGCATGAAAAGTGATGGCAGACCCACAGTGTCTGTGTGTGTGTGCTTGTTTCCATGTGTACATTTTATTTGTTTATCTGTGTGTATGTGTGCGTGTGTGTCTTTCTTATGAACCTCTTAAGCAATGTGACAGAGGATGGACAGGTGAATAAAGGCATGTGCGTGTTTCTGGACTGATTGAGATGTTGGGGAACTTGTCGGATTGGACAGGCCTGTCTGTCAACCTGTCACCCTATGAAACATGGCTTTTACCAAGGTCAGACTGTTCTGATGAATCACACACTGGTTTGGGTTTGACCCTTTCTTGGTGAAACATGGGTTGGGGATGGTAATGCTAAGCCTGTCCTCCCATTTGTTGAAAGGACAAGATTTATACATTGTCAAAAATGAATAAACTCAATATCTTAGCATCACACCACATATTGTTCTTGTGAATTTATAGATTTTGGATGTGGCCATACAATCAGCTTTTCTGAATCATGAAATTGGCTTTTGGACACGGTTCATGTGTGACAATCCTGAACCAGAGAAATTGCCTTTCAAAAAAAGGCCTAGGGTGTTAAAAAGAGTAGTGATTTTCACCCAGAATTTATGTTCCCACGCTTCAAAAATGTGTGGGGATTCCAGCTGCGGCAGGACACTGCTCACCACAGTTGACAGTAAACAAGGTCCTCTGGTGGCGAGGACGGCTCGGAGTATGCTTTCACTAAAAGAAAGTGAAGAGAAAAAGTATGAGGAAACTGCTGTAGAGTAGCCACTCTCACTCGATGCCTTTTGAGATGTTTTTCAAAATAAATTGAAATAGGGTATTTTTAGTGTAGATGCTGGCAACTCTGGCATTCTTAAACAAAACATCATTTGATAACTAACGCCAGCTAGCCACCTTCTTACCCTACTTTTCCCATTTTACCCTACTGCCCTCTGGGTGCAGCTGCAGGAGGGTTCGCTTTGGGCCTGATCTTCTCAGCCATAACCGCCTTAAATAAATAGCCTCGCTGAACTGACCTGAGAGTGTACTGTTGTTGTCTGCTGTGTACAAATTTCCCCTTGGGGACAATAAAGTCTGAAGCATTTTTAACTCTAAATATCCTTTTTTTATCCTCACAGTTATAAATGTTAATGTTGAATCTTCTTTTCATACTCCCGTGGTTTCACCTTGTTTTCCTCCCGCTGTTCTCCGAATGGCATAAACCCTCTCTCTCCGACACAATACATTATCGGACAGGTACAGTAAGAAACCTGAATTTGCAAGAAAAACACAGCTCTATCAGCATCTTGTTAACATTTTGCTCTATTTCCGAGCAAAGCTGATAACAGCAGCTTAACAGAGGGATAAGAGGCCAGCTGGTCTCTTGTTTGGGTGTGTGTTATCCTTACTGCATGTTATGTGTAACGGGTGTATTGCGTCGGTGTGTGTTATCAGGGCAGTGCTTTCCTTGTTTGCCTGGATGCTGTCAGCATATTAGTGATGATAGTCGGTGATTAGTTCCTGCAGATTTGGAGGATAACGACTAAGGTTAGGAGAGGGAGTTTGAGTTGCTCTCAAAATACCATCATACTCCTCATTTATGTTTGTGTGTCCTCATTTTGTTTTCCCACTGGAAATATGTTGTGCACGAATGTGTGCTCACGATGGCACGTTGGTATGTGGAGGTGTGTAAGTGTGTTGTGTCTGATCCTGCTTTTCCGTAGTCTGTCCTCAAGGCTCAGATGCGTATCAGAATAGGGGTACAAATCCAGTGCAGGCTATGTTTGTCTGCATTCCCATTATGCTAGCTGCCTCCGTGTGCTAAAAAACAAGGTCCATCAAAACAAGTCCTTGCCATATTTTGTCTTGAAATCTAAGTTTTCTTAACACAAGCAACACAACTTTTGTTTTCCTTAAAGCAGTAGCCAATTGGGTGAGATAATTGCACTTCCTTTTCCAAATCTGTTTCACTTATTGCAAGATGTTTTTCTCTAATAATCAATCGCATATAAATCTCCAAACAAGACAGATTACTGAGGTTGTTCCAAGAAAATTACACTTGATTCCAGAAAGTACATGAAAGTTAGGCCGTAGTTGAAATGAGACAATCAGCTGCTTTCACAAAGATTTTTTTGAATTGATAAGAAGACTTCTTGCTTCTTTCTTCGCCAGGTCCAGAGGGAAGAAGCACAGTGTTATTCTACGGACCCAGCTGACCGTCCGTGTACACGCCTGCATCGGTGAGTGCTGTGTGACATGTTTATATGTGTGTTTAAGATGAGCTCCTCCCAGCAAACACACTTCACAAGCAGACCTAAGAATACATTGCACTCCACGTTTAGATGGCTGTCCAGGGTTTTACATGTGGCACATGCTGGGGTCAGACCTGAGACCTCCCACTCAGAAGCAGGTTTGACTGGTATGTGAATTTTTCTACATTCAGTGAAGTATTAAGGTCATGTCAGTAATTGCATTAAACAGGAATTGTGGGAGCTTTTACACGGTTCAGAGAGGGTAAAGCGAATGGGAGCTTTTTATGTGTATGTGGCTGTAAGTGTTATCACAGAAGCAGCTCAGTTTTTTTCTTCCCAGTGTGATGACCTCGACTGTTCTCAGTTTGCAATGTTGAAGATGAGTAGGAAGGAGTTGTGAATTTCATTGAAAGTTAGAGGGTCGCTGAAGAAAAAGAAAGCAGCACCGGAGGGAAAATATGTTCTGATGAAAGTAAAGAGAAAGAACTGAGATTTGCAAGGGTGGGAGGGAATGATAGGAGATGGAGTTGAGAGGTTTTCAGGTCAGAGCCAACAACTACTTTGTTTTACGATGAGAACACAGACAACAGAATCTTAGGCCTGTGCCTAGTAGCTCACAAGGCAAAGTAAGCTGTAGATAAATAGAGTTTTCACATTCGTGATTTTTTAATTTCAAAAGAACTTAGTTGATGTAGCTGAATAGTTTTTTGGAACTACAGTATTTCAGTCGTACACAGCCTCCCAACACCCAGGACCATTCATGTATCTAAAAAACAATAAAAAACATAAGCCACATAATTTTTATTAGCAACATTTTAGAGATGGCAATGACGGCCGGTCATTTGGACACGTGGATGATTTTGGTGTCAGCCAGCCCAGTCATATAACAAACGATGAATTCCTTTTTTCTTCTTCTTCTTTGTCATCTGTGTCTCACGAGGGTCTTTACTGGCCACTCACTCTCTGCAACTGAGTCTCTTTATATCCATTAAAATCCCCCCACTCTTTCTTACTCTCTTTGCTGTGGGTCTGTGCTCCTTTCTCCTCTCCTCCATGACTCATCTGCGTGGCCAACATTCTCCATGCCAGTGATAGCCGTGCTAATTTGGGCCCCTAGTGCCTTGGATTGGTTGAGAACGTGATGAGGTGAAAGGGCACCAGTAGTGGGACCAATGGTGTTAAGGAGAGAAACCATGCAAATACACAAAAATAAAATCAGTTTCTCAATTTATTATGTACATAGGTGACATCATTTACATGACAAGAAACACCTGATTCTAAACTAATTCTAAACTTGATTCTAATCATAAGTGACTTTAAGATATATTTCTGCAACATGGTGTAAAAAGCAATTTACATTGACCCAATCTTAGGAACATGACCAATGAACTTGCACCCTATTCCCAATCTTTATGAGACTGATATGGACATATGGCTGCTGCTGGCTCTCTTAAGTCCCTAACCTGACTTAAGTCTGTAACCACCTGCCTCCAACATTTACACACATACACTCTTCGCAAATGCCTTAGTGAATGGAGTGTGAGGTGGTGTAACTCACGCCTGTGCACATGTAACACACACACCCACCCACCCACACACACACACACACAAACAAGCTCTTATGAGGGATCTTCTCATGGCTCATCTTGGTTTGAAGAAAACTAGTGCTGGGCCATATTTGTTTGTCAACTTCTTACTAGAACGGAACTGTTTATTGGAGAAAAGGCTGCGGCATCACCATATGAGTGGCATTTCCTTTAGAAAGGCATGAGTAAAACTCAAATTTTGCCCAGTGCCAAGGCTCGATGATAGAGTTTGCTCACTGTATTGACCACAATCCAGATTTAATTCAGCTTGGCACAGATGCTGGGCAGCAACCAGATCCTGACTAGAGTTGATATTCTAGACTGGCACTTCAGTAAATCTGCTGCATTAGACTGACATATAATCAGATGGCATGGGCAAGTCAGTGGGATCCCTTCACTTTAAAGATCTACTGATCTACTGACCATTTTCCACCCCCTCTCAGAGTTGCTTTCCACTCATCTAATGCTCTCTAATCCTCCGGGGCCTTGACCTTCAAATCACTAGAGTTTTGGTCAGCATGCTATCCACTAAATGAAAAGCCTGTCCCAATCAAGGATACAAAATGCTTCCAGAATCAAATATATATATTACTCATTAGTTGGTCATTATAGCAGCATAGCATGTCACGGATTTGAAGTGAAGTTTAAGTGCGGGGATTGCTGCCTGCGCTACATCCATGATAAGTATTTGATTCATGTGATTGAAATGAAGGAAAATATCAATTCCTTACAGATTTTAATAATCCTACTGGCTTCATCAGCATTCACTTTTGCATGACAAGTATCAGGATTCGATTGTATTAATGTCAAACGTCAGGAAGGTCTTAACCTTCTTCAGTCATTTTTCAGGGCCGTGAAGTTGACTAAAACGACTATTAACTATGAGAAACACTGCGCTCCATGGTATTTCTTGGCACCACTGCTAGCGGACAGATCTAATTACAAGCCAACTTGAGATTAAGGACGCTCTGTGATGCGTGTATGTGTGAGTGAGTGTGTGGTAATGTGTGTGAGTTAATAAGTTGTTCTGTTGTATGTGAAAAGGAAGACGCATTGATGTGGTCAGCAAGCAGACCCTTTGTCTGCTGGTGTAAGCACTACTCTGCAGGCAATGTGTGTACACTGGAGAGGCCTTCGTGCCACATTAATGATCCAGCTCACTCATGGCATGAACACCACCGGGAGATTAGGGTCAATTTTAATTTTTCTTTTCAATACGGGGCTGGTGTCCTAAAGGTCCTCAGTTTTTCCCATTTTATATCTCTGTTTCATTTGTGCTTTTATCTCACACTATCTACTCGTGTGCCCTCTTTTTTATGTTTCCTCCTCCTCTCTCGATTGATCCCGTGGTCTGCAGTCCCGACAGAGTGCCAATCAGAACCCCTTGTTTAAGGGTTAATTTTAGCCATCTCTATCGCAGCAGAGTTGTTGTGGACCGTAGCTGAAGGGTGGAGAGAGGCGGTTGAGGGGTGGGGGTGAAGTGGAGGTGTTATCTTTAGAAAGTGTTGACAGCACAGAAACATGCGAGGATGGCAGCACAGTGCTAAATGTGAGAGTTGCAGGGAGCACGAGGGGCGAGAAAGGGTTGACTGAGGAACATAGAGGAGAATTGGAAAGAATAATTAGGAATTAAAAACTAGATTAAAAAAGAAACTGTACTAAGCAATCGTTTTATCTAATGAAACTAGAAGTCTATGGTCCCACTAGCAGCATCAGTGGCACCTGGTGGCATCACAGTGCAAATTACATTCCACAATATTAGTGTCAAAGCAATTATCTATTAGGGATTTGAATTTGTTCAGTGTTATTATGTGGCTATGTAATATGCATAGCCACAGCAAGCATGACTGCAATCTGCTTATTTGATGGAAGTTTGACAAGTATTTTATGACATGACTTAGGTGCAAAGTTGACTTATTGGCCTGAAGGCAATGCTATAGCAAAGTGTCCAAATTTGGAAAAGGTTCGTCCTCTTTGGAACATGAATGTGCTCTGCAAATTTCATGGTATCACCCTATTAAGGTTAAATATATTTTGCATGTGTACTTGAACATTTTTCCTGTCAGTGGCTCTAGAGGAAAGGCCTCACCTAAAACTTCATGACTGTCAGTATCATCTAGATTATACAGATATTTGAGATTAATAAAAATCTGATAACAAATATTGAATATACTTATTTTTCAAGATACTAACACACAGACATTTTTATAAGGGTCCCTTAAAGCATCAATGTGTACGTTTTAGTGGCATCTAGTGGTGAGGGTTGCAAATTGCAACCAGTGGCTCACAGTGCGTTCATGTGCTCCTCAGAAAGTCCCATTGCCAGAGTTGTGAAGTCGTTCTTCTGACTTCATTGTGCGTTCATGTGCTCTTAAGTCGCAATTTGGAATCAACATGGACGCTACTACAAAGATGTGTTTGATTAGCATTATCAGAGCCTAAACAACACACAGGCATCTAGTTCATTCTACGTGAAAAGCAAATCAACCGTTATAATAACCATATTACAAATTACATGTTTGAAAAATATGTAAATGCAATACAAGATTTTGCACACATCAAAGTTCTGTATAATCTTTATGTCCCATGTACACTTTATTTCTCTTTTTGCAATAAAGATTTAAGGAGGATAAAAAGATTCTGGTTATTCCAACATCATATCAATGCACCGTCAGTCACCACTCACCCCTCCTTTTTCAAGCGTGCAGAAGAAGCTACGGTGGCCACCTATCGCCTCCTGTGTGCTAAATAATACCTGTTGTCCTCTATTTGTCCAAATTTCACTTCTTTTCTTACTTCTCCTTCTTCTTCGCCTTATCCTTCTTCTTCTTCTTCTTCTTCATATGTATTCAAAGTAGTGACGAAACGTGCTCTGAAGAGCCGTTTGTCCATTTGGGCTACATTGGGCCCAACATGGTGATGTCCATGTAATGGGACCCATGTTGTATGTAGATAGAAATGGCTCATTCTAAGGTAATAAAAACATAACGTTTCATTATGTAAGGTCTTTATGAATCACTGAAAACATAGTTATGGATATTATATTGAATTTCTGTCAATAGATCCTCTTAAATATTACATACTGAACCTTAAATTAGTTTTTTTAAAGAATTCTAACAGTTTTGATATGTATGGTGGGGGATATTTTACAGTTGGAAATAGCTTGTAAGTGCTCTCTGGTGTACAAACTATGTATAAAGACATTGTTTAAAAAACACCTCAAAAACTAATAAATTCAATATATTGGCCCGGGCTGATTAATCTAGCTTTAGATAGTACTTCTTGAGAAACCAGCTGATTGTGAAGGTTAAAATTTGGTCTGACAGTGATGCTAGATTATAAAGGCTAGTGGGGGGGGGGTTACCAAAAATGTTAGCAAATTGTTGCCTTTTTAAGCAGATA